TTTGCTGTCATTGGTCAAAACAAAACAGTCGATTTATAATGGGAAGGTGTGTATTAGAAAAGCTGGCTGTAAGTTCAGATGGTTATTAGAAAGTTGTCTGAGTGAGCATCGATGCCAAACAACTTGGACCGCCAGATGTGCACCCCACCATTCTCTCCCAAAGGAGAAGAAACAGGTACAAGGTAAGGGTAACTGGCAGAGACCAGACCCAGTAACAGGCTCGTCCAGAGCTCTCTCAGGTCAAGACTTTGTATGATTGTTTTTCTCGTTTTCTGCTTCCATCAAGTAAAAAAATAAATATAAGAGATGTAGATTAGAAAAGTAGCCCTAACCGGTTTGGCTCAGTGGATAGGGCATTGGCCTGCGGACTCAGGGGTCCCAGGTTCGATTCCGGTCAAGAGCATGTACCTTGGTTGCGGGCACATACCCACTGGGGAGTGTGCAGGAGGCAGCTGATGGATGTTTCTCTCTCATCGATGTTTCTAACTCTCTATCCCTCTCCCTTCCTCTCTGTAAAAAATCAATAAAATATATTTTTTAAAAAAGAAAAGTAATAGCATAATAGCATTTAGAAGTATACAAATATTATATAAACAAAAATAGGAGTAAAAAAACACATATTAATACAAACTTATACATGTGAAAAACATCTCTGGTAGTCTTGCTTAATATGGTAGCCTCATTTAGAATAAAACAAACTGAGAGAACCGAAGAGAAGAAAGTGCGCTTCCTGGTCTTTGAAACCATACTGCCTTTGATTAGAATAAATATATAACAGCCCTAACCGGTTTGGCTCAGTGGATAGAGCGTCGGCCTGCGGACCAAGAGGTCGGCCTGCGGACCAAGAGGTCCCAGGTTCAATTCCAGTCAAGGGCATGTACCTTGGTAGGTGTGCAGGAGGCAGCTGATCGATGTTTCTAACTCTCTATCCCTCTGTAAAAATAAAATATATTAAATAAATAAATAAATAAATAAATATATAACATAATAGGTCATATATGATGTAATGTGTATCACCTGATATAAGAAAACTGTCACAAAGAGTTCCATTTGAGGAGATTGTATTTGCAAAAGAGGCATTACGTACTCTGGGTAATGGTTAGCTTTCTTAAAAGTTTTCATGTAAATGTTTATTGCATTCAAATGAGGGAAGGGGATTCCATAATCATTAATCAGCTCTTTTTGTTTTTCCCTGAGACGTGACTTATTTTGTGACCCTGTCCCTGGGAGATAGATGAAAGTATATTTTTAGTTTTAGCATTCAGTTCCCAAATCTGAACTGAAAAGCCTCCACACTACATATGGAGCAGTACAGTTCATCATCTGAGCGGTAAATGCTCTGGTGAGCGAGGGGAGGGGCAGTGTGAGCACTGTGACAGGTAGTGAAGTGAGAGAGGGGGAGCACGGTGTTCTCTGGGCTTTGTGGTCCTGTGAGCTCACCGCCCTCAGGAAAACCTTCTGAAGAGCTTAGTGCGCCCTCTACTGCCATCTGCTGTCACCGTGGCTTCCATCAAACAGCACGAACTTCATGTCTTGAATTTACAGATTAGCCCTGTTGAAAGTTTACAGACTAAGACTGAACACCTCACTTTACATAATAAATGTACCAGGAAAGTTCATTTGCTCCATCTACATCCTATCAATACTTGGTATTCCAAGTTTTAAAATTTTATCTGTTTTGGTAGTTTTGTAGTGAGTGGTACCTATTTTATTTTGTATTCTCATATAAAAGCTGTGTTCTCATACTAAGTATTTATATGTACTTATTTGTCACTTGGAAACCCTGTATTGAGAGATGTATCTTCAGTCTCTTGCCTATTTTTCTCTTAGTTTGTCATCTTTTCCTGATTATATGAATTATTTATTCTGAATGGAAGAGCTTTGTCAGCTATGTTTTTAAATATTTCTTTCTTATATTAAGGTTAATCTTTTTATTCTTATAATGGTATATTTTGATGAACAAAATTCCTAATTTCAATGTAAATAGAAAAGTTATATTTAATGTGAAATACACATAAGTGTAAATTTAATGTAGAATGTAAACTTAAACTTACTAATGTTTTCCGTTAAGATTGGTCTTTTGGCCCTAGCTGGTTTGGCTCAGTGGATAGAGTGTCAGCCTGCGAACTGACGGGTCCCAGGTTTGATTCCAGTCAAGGGCACATGCCTGGGTTGTGGGCTCGATCCCCAATAGGGGGCGTGCAGGAGGCAGCCAATAAATGATTCTCATCATTGATATTTCTCTCTCTCTCTCCCTCTCCTTTCCTCTCTGAAATCAATGAAGATATATTTTTAAAAAATTGGTCTTTTGGGGGTCTTAAGAAATCTTGTCCTATACAACATCATAAATATATCCTATGTTATCTTCTTTAACATTTAACCTTTCACATTTTATATCTACGATATACCTGAAGTTGACTTTTGTGTGTGACAGTGGGGTAGAGATTTTTCCAATGTGATATTCAAATGTCCATTGAAAAACCATCCTTTCCTCACTGCACTGCATGTCACCCTTGTCAGACTATATACCTGTGGATCATTTTTAGACTCAATTCCAGTGTCATCTGTTTATCCTTGAGCTGCAGAATTATTCTAGGGGCCTATGCATTTCTAGGGGTGATACAAAGTGCCCGCAGCTTGTAAAGAACCTCTAGGTTAGCGGTTCTCAACCTGTGGGTCGAACGACCCTTTCACAGGGGTCGCCTAAGACCATCGGAAAACACATATATAATTACATATTTTTGTGATTAATCACTATGCTTTAATTATGTTCAATTTGTAACAATGAAATTGGGGGTCACCACAACATGAGGAACTGTATTAAAGGGTCGCGGCATTAGGAAGGTTGAGAACCACTGCTCTAGGTCAGTGGTCAGCAAACTCATTAGTCAACAGAGCCAAATATCAACAGTACGACGATTGAAATTTCTTTTGAGAGCCAAATTTTTTAAACTTAAACTATATAGGTAGGTACATTGTTATTAACTTAATTAGGGTACTCCTAAGCTGGCCTTTGCTAAAAACATCCTCAATCTGATTGAGGTACGTTCGCTGAGGTCGACCCTTTCCAACTCTCCCATCCACACTCATCTTGTGTACTTGTTTCGTCTATCTTTTGTCACTCGCGCGCGATTTGCAGACGCGACTAGCACTAACCACTGCACAATGAGACTGCTGACTGACTGGCTCACTCAATTTGTGCATGAATCGTGCGCACCTCCCCCGCACTGTGTATCCCACGGCCCGCCTGCGCCGAATCTCCCGTCGCCCGACTGACTGACACCCCCCACTTCTTCTAACGCCACTTGCCCAGGCCGAAAACCGACTTCGCGCATGGGCCACGAAGTTTCGATCACACTGTACATGTGCGCCCGCACGTGGTATTTTGTGGAAGAGCCACACTTTAGGGGCCAAAGAGCCGCATGTGGCTCGCAAGCCGCGGTTTGCCAACCACTGCTCTAGGTGAATCTAGAGTTTGTTTTATCATAGGATGACTAGAGGCCTGATGCCTGAAATTCGTGCAAGGGGCTCGGCCCTTGCAGTCCTGGCTGCCTCAGCCGGCCCTCACAGCCCCTGCAGCTTCGGCTTCATCTGGATGGTCATCTGGACGGTCATTCTGCTGTTTGGTCTAATTAGCATATTAGCTCTTTATTATATAGGATAGAGAGACTTATCAATGGTTCTAGTAATCAGTAAAGTTAGGAATACAGGCAAAGTACAGTGAGTTGGTGCTACAGAAATAGATAGACAAAAGATTACAAATCTAGTGGAACAGTGGTCATGTGACTATAAAATTTAAATTATGGCAATGTGAACAAAGGAGTCAACAGTGTATGAAAATCTGAACACATTTTTCTGATTCTAACCAAAATGAAAAGTTAATTCTGTTCAAAACTAGTGCAGAATCATTTTTTTAAGTGTCTTTTCTCTTTTAATTTATCAGCAGGTCAATCAACGAACCCTATTTTTTTGAAATTTCCATTTAAAAACATTCACACTAATATTAACTTTGTATATGTGGAATAAGAGTTAAATTTCTTTCATATGCTTCTGTGTAGGTGGTTTTTAAAATTCTGTGCTCGTATATTTATTTATCTCTGCAGCTTTTATAAAGGGATTCTGGTAATGTCTCCCTTCAGATACTGGAGTTTCAAATACTTGACTTACTAACCCTCCCTCTTTCTCTTCAACAATTCTCAAGATTCAGGGAAATGTGTAAGATGCAACTTTGGCAATGGCTGGGGATCTCTGCCCCGATATGCTGTATTCGTCCCTAAATGCTATTTCATGAAAGACACATTAATTAAACAGGAAATAGAAACACCAAATGTTTTATTCTATACTTTTAATTCAAAAATATAAACAATATTTGCATAGTATTACATGTAAGTATTTAGATAGCATTAACATAGAAGGCAGTAAGAAATGTTGGTCTGGGGATTAATGACCATTATCCTTGAAATATAAGGTACCTTTCAAGTACATAGTATAAATGAAAAAGACTGTTAAAAAGTTTAATGAAAAAAATCATATAATAAAAAATTATTAGCTACATAACTCAGAATTTACATTAAGTATATTTTGGATCCTATAGTGTTTCCTTATTTAAAAATATAACCCCACAAGCCTACTGTCTTATGAAGACTAAGTTTGCTTGCAATAAACCACCTTGTCAACATAACATGATAAATATACAGTTTATTTATTATTTACAATCATTAAACATATTAGAAAAGCAAAACTTTGGTAGTGCTTTTAAAATGTTAAGTAATTTAAAATGTATTAAAAAGCTATATTGGGGAAAATATGACACATTATATCTTAATTAAGATAAATGACATTTCATGAAAAGAGTATACTGACCTAATAACACAGGTACACAGTGGAATGAGTATGTACTGTGCCATGTCTTGAGATGCCTATTAGTCAAATAGTCAATTAGTCCACTGCCAAGCAGGGTGGGCAATTAAGATGAGGCCAATTGAGTCGGCAATATACAATTTAAATTTCCAAGTAAACTTAAAAATGTTTCTCAACATTTATTTAATCATAAAATATATAAAACAAGAAAATACTAAACTAAAAAATAGGCTTGAACTTGAAATCAAATAATTTTTTCAATGTGAAAAAATGCAGGCAAATCCAAGCTTAAAAATGATCCAGAGACAAATGATGGGCACTGTTTTGAAATCATTAAAAAGTGTTACGCTGAAAGCAACATTTGGATTTTTTTGGCCCCATTGACAGTGCTGTCTAATCTATGAGTTGGTGAATTAAATACTACATATAATGGTAACACGGTATTTTCCATTATATCATATTATATACTTTCAGAGCAAATTATGTATCCACAAATTATAAAAATAAATCTTTCTGTAGTTTAAAAACAAATAAAAATATAATAATTTGTATTAAAAAATATGGCAAACTAACCTGATAATCATAACCTTTTTTGGCTATGATTATATTGAGTTTTTAAGTTATCTATTCAATAAATTAAATCAAAAACCTTTGATCCACCAATGTTTTGGACGCCAAATTATTCTGTCCTACTATATTACGAATAAATTTAAAAACCTGGGGGGAAAAATAAAACAATTCAGAATTATAAAAATGTATATATAAAGAAAATTAAATATGCAAATCAATTATAATATCTAAATTAAACTGGCCCTGGGCTAGATCTTTAGTGTTTGCCTTTTTATTATCTTAGCATCTGGTACAGAGGGTGTATGGGACTCTAATTACTGCTCACATCTGGCACCTAGGATATGGAAAATGTGTCTTCCTACTGGATTCCTTTCACATCTGCTCAAGTAACTTATGCCCTCCATAAGACCCCAGGATTTCATTGACTCAACAGAGTATAGAATGACAGTGGTTGAAATGTTATTCATTTTGGGGGTAGGGTTAATCATATTCTAAACCTTTACAAATTCCGACTGAAATCATTTTCTGCTATGAAAATAAACACATCTACTTCCAACACTTTCTTTTTAAAAAGAAACCCAGAAAAAACGTAAAACTTTACCTCTTGTTGTAGATATGTAAGGAAGGCTGCTAAAATAAAGTTTTGGCAAGCCAAGTCCACAACACAGAAGAACAGCAGATCATAAATAAGAAGAGTGGCTTCATTTCCATAATACAGAACGCTGCTGAATGAATAACCGTCATCTATTAAAAAAAACAATTTGTAAGATATAAATTAGAAATCGAAAAAGATCAGTCAAGGAACTCTGCTCATAAAATTCAGTTTTAACATCTGCATCAAGGGTTGGTAATTGCAAGAAGTGTCAGTTTATCATCAATACTTTTCAAAGACCAAGTAATGAATATCCCTTTCTAACAAAGGCTAAAGAATCGTAGAGTTAAAAAAACAAAACAAAACCAACAAGGACTATAATTTGTGTCTCAAATAGTCCTCTCAGGTTCTGCTCTGAAACCTCTTCTCACTTCACAAGGAAAGGTTTTTCCTTTTGGAGATGTAAACGCCCTTTTAAGATTCTGATGGACGCTACAGACCTTTCACCAAAAGGAGAAACCGTTAAGTACACACATGCGAATCCTGCACACATCAGGGAGGTTCAGAGACCACTGACCTGCCCATGGCACCCAGTTAGGAGCTCTTACACAAGGGACACCTGGCGTGCTGGCAATGTTCTTCTTTGTTCAGGTGCTAGTTACAGGGCTCTATTCAGTTTGTGAAAGTTCCCTGGCCTTTATGTTATATCCCTACAAAGTGTGTGTGTGTGTGTGTGTGTGTACACAATTTACAGATCAGATCTGCTTAGGACTTTTTGATGACATCCATGTTCATTTCCTTCACAGTAGTTTCCAAATTGTTCTCAACATGTATCTCTATCAGAATACAGTGCTGAGCATGCACCCCACCGTAGGCAGATTTTATTAATTACTACTATATATTATACATTAAAAATATATAAATTAAAAATGGAATTGCAAATATACAAATAGACATTTTAATATTTTCTTCTCACATCTCCAAGGAGCATCCTGCACACCTCCTACGGGACAAAAATTTAAAAAAAAAAAAACTCTTTTGGAAACTGCAGGCTAGAGTAAAACTCTGAGGGTATTAGACAAAGCCTTGGGGGTGGGTCTCTGCCTCTCTCTCCCTCAAGAACTCTCTCACTGTGTTCACTTCATACAAGGCTTCGCTCATAAAGCTCTTCAGTGCATAATGCCCTTCTCCCTCTGCACAAATGCCTTGCCTCTCTTTCCTTGACCCTCCTGCTTGACAATAGCAACTTATTTTTAAGACCCAGCTCAAACTTCTCTGGCTTCATCCTGTGTCTGGTTGGATTTTCTGCTTTCCCTGCTGTATCCAGTGTACGCTGTGCCTGCAGACATCTATTCCAGCATCTCTCCACTTCCCCAGTCACAGGCCGACCTTTCCTAGTCTACTAAAGAGGCTGCTCCACGGAGAGACCACTCTTCTGTGTGGTCCGGGACTGGGACATGTGACACTCAGTGAGGCACGGGTGAGTGCAGCTGGGCCAGGACACTGGTTATTCACAGCCGTTCTTACCAAGCCAGACAGGAGTTCACCAGTCGCATTAGAGTGGCACAGACAGTAATTTTTTTAATGTTAAGAAATATGTTTAGTCACTATTCCCATCACAGATTATCTGCAATCTTTAAGAATTTGGATAAAGTGAAAATTAAATGTTTCAAACCAGTCACAAATGTTACTCTTCAAGGCTTTCATAAGTTTGCTCCTGAATGGACATTCCAATAAAATCTGAATTTTATTTGTTTTACTATCTCTTCTATGTGCGCCACTGCTTTTGAAATTCAGTTTTTACTTTCTTGTAGAATAATTATGTTGTATGTATTTGTTTCTAGCTACATGACATGATAAAATAGAAATGAGAAACTACTATAATTCCATGAAGTTAACTGAAACCGTTTCGTCTTTATATAAATTTATAAAATCAAAAGAAAAATTAATAACTACGACAACTTTTTCTTTCAAACTTTGAAAATAGTAATCAAGTTCTGCAAAGGCAGTTGAACGATACCATTATAAAAGATGCTTTTTTCCATTGGTTCCATGAATTCTATTCCAAGAATTTTTTCAAGAAGCAATTTATCTTTTATAAAGTAGTCCATGTCCTTATGAACCTAATACAAAAAAGCCACAGTCATTAAAAAAAATAGCATTGAAATAAATGTTTCCCAATTTTTTTTTATCAAAAGAAAACAATGAATAGTACACACAGAAAATCTGTTCTTCAAAAAGACTTAATTTACTCCATTAGGCTTTATAACAAAATTCCTTTTAGGAATAATTTTTAAATGTCCTTAGTAGTCATTAGGGCTAGATATACTGACAATTAATTTTTAAGAAGTTTTTCAGGAATACAACCATAGCATAACATATTTCTATAATGAATAATATAAAAGATTTTGGTAGCTGGCTAACAAAATTCCAGTATTGACATATAGACAATATGCTAACAGACATGTAAAATTTCATTTTAGTTTTACATAATCTAAATCTATATCCTTAAGCCACATTATTAATTTTAACAGCAAGGGGACTATCCTAAATCCACCACCTTGCTTAGCTAAAGAAATAACTGATATTCTTGGTTAACTTTTAAACTGCATTTTGATTCTAGCTTAAATATAAATGCTGACATACATACATGATCGATGAAAGAGCCAAGGAATTTATTCATAGTATTATATGCCTTTATACTCTGCTCAAAAGTACTTGCTGATGAACTCAATAGTCTAGCAGGGCCATTTTTCTAATGTGAAAAGAGACAAGAATAAATGCAAATGTCTTACCTTCTTGGTATTTAAACATAAAATACTGGCAAAATGTATCTTGATTATATTGTGTACAAACCCTTGTTAGCGTCTCATGAATTCTGTCATAGTGCTGTCTCATCTGGCTAGAAATTGCAATCTGGAAAGTCTGACCCTCTGTGTTGGGCACCAAACCTCTCTGGCTACACAAGTTTTCCTGAAAAGTTAAAGGATTTAAATCAAGATCAAGATTATGAAAATTTCTCCTGTTTTAAAAACACACACAACTTTTTTCTTTTAGTTGGTATCACATATTACAAAACTCATGATGTGACCCAGCCATAAAATTATTTTCGTTGCTACTTTATCAATGTTCAGGGTAATGAGCTGGTATCCTAGCAACTTTCAAAGTAATCAATGAGGATTAAAAAAAGTATATTATTACAAATCCTAGATTAAGAAAAGTGAACCTATCCTTCAACTTAAAAAGATGTAAAGTACATTCCTACCGCTTCTCTTTTCAGATTCAGATTCATTTCTTCCATGTTAGTATCTGCATGCCCGTGTACTGATCTACCATGAATGTAATATCCAAAACATTTGTGGGATAACAGAAACACTGATATCTATAAAAAGAAAAGAATAAGGAGCAATTAGCAACTCATCTGCAAAGCAGTGAAAATTAACTTTTCTTAAAATTGCTTCCTTTCAAAATAATGAGGGCGGAATTCTTGGAAAATATATAAAGAAGATAAGAAGGTAATAAAGGATAGTGAGGTTATTTTTTAAAAGTAGATGGAGAAGAGATTGAAGATATTTCTAAGAAAGGAAGAAATAGGGCTGATATATGAAAACTTTTCTCAGCTGAGTGAACTATTTGGTGGCATAAGGAATTCATAATTAAGAAACTGCAAATAAAAATGAAAAAATGAAGACAGAAAATATTAACTTGTAGCTCATTACAACTATCTCTGGAATTAACAACCAGTGGAAATTAGACTAAAAATCCAATTATACCAAATCACTTTTAAAGCCTCTCTTAATGTATTCATGACCTTTAAAAAGGGAAAAATAACAGTTGCAAGATAAAGTCAGAAAGTACTTACATTGCTCATAGAGCATAAATCCACAAACTGTCGAATTTTATCTTCTATAAATCTCTCATAAAAGACAGCAAAGAACACGATCTGAAACATTAAGCCACGTTTGTGCTTATTAGCTTTTAGGATTTAATTTTCTTTTATAGTCACAGTGTAGTATCTTAAGACAAAAGAAGTTCCGACCAAGAACACAGTGGCCCTAATGGTTCTTATGGGACAAAATCCTCCTCATTTCTGATTCTTCTGTCAGATGGGACCTGAGGCTGAGAAGATTTATTTTTAGCTTCAGGTATTTCAATAAATATTTTAACGAAACATTCACAAGGGGTATTGGCAATCTGAGTGAGTTTTAATGATATTTAAGTAATTGTTAATAAGAAGTTATATTTCAGAGGAAAAAAGAGTATTAAAGGTAAATGAGCCATCCTGTAGTTATGCATACGCTAAACAAGGAGTCCATCATCTGACTAGAAAGCTGCCGACTTAGGAAGACTTCGGAACCCCCTATTGATAAGAATGTATCTCTGAAATCAGAATGCCTGGGTTCCAGCTGCAGCTCTGCCAAGCTCTAACTGTATCCTTCAGGCAACTATTTAACCTTTCTGTGCCTCAGCGACCTCATCTGTAAACTGAGGTTACTCACAGACCTATCGCTGAGGGCTACTATAAAAATTTAAAAAGTTAACATGCACAATGCAATTAACACAGTGCCTGGATTATAACATTATATAAGAATTAGTTATTAGCTATTATTGGTCTTATTGTCAGTTATCAGAATGTGGTCAATATTGAAGGATAGTCGGTATGTAAACAGTTATAAATATAGAGAGGCAGTGTTGCTTAAAAGTATAATCTCTTGCCCTGACTGGTTTGGCCCAGTGGATAGAGCGTCGGCCTGCAGACTGAAGGGTCCCAGGTTCGATTCTGGTCAAGGGCATGTACCTTGGTTGCGGGCACATCCCCAGTTGGGGTGTGCAGAGGGCAGCTGATCAATGTTTCTCTCTCATCGATGTTTCTAACTGTCTATCCCTCTCCCTTCCTCTCTGTAAAAAATAATAATAATAATAAAAAGTATAATCTCTTGTTACCTGTATCATTCCAATCACTAGCCAGAGAGCAGAAGACACTGCATATCTCAAAATGCGACTATAAGGAGCTATGTAGCTGGATGGGTCTCTGGAAAGACTAGAGGATGAATCCATTAATGCTAAGTTCTTAAATCCCACAACCTGTAGTGAAAAGGAAAAATAGTAATTTAAACAGACAAGAATGAAGGAAACTTCTCTAGTTTAAAAATTAAATACTCCTTCCTACTTACCTTAAAAAATGAAAATATTCAAGTTCATACAAACAGTAGAAAATCTAGATAAAAACAATTATCTGGTATTTTTAATTACAAAACACTTAACATAAAATAGTTCATCTGGTATTTTCTTCAATACAAATAAAGGCCAAATATAACCCTATTATCATATACACTGAAAAAGCTCAAAAATTTGTCAGAAGAATAAAACTTTCTTCAGTAAACTACCAATGAAAAACCAACATTTCATGAGATTTTAACATATGCCAGACACCATGCAAAATTCTTTTTATGGTAAAGAAATCTACATGACTATTGAATCCAGTGTTTTCTCAACTTACTTGGATAGAAACTTCTTTTTCATGTAATGCCCTTTAAAGCTTTGAAAAACACTACTATAAATAATTGAGATAGTGTTCGTATGTCCTAGGGACACACATATTCTCCTAGCTTTAGAAAAGGAAAGAAAGAAGAAAGGAGGGAAAGAAGGTAAAGGGAAGGAAGGCAGATAGACATAAGATTAATGATTCCTGAGGAAATCTGTTACCTGTATAAATAGTTTCCATATTTCAGTCCCATATTCAGTATTGAATACTTCCTTTAATAATTCCAACCAGACCCATGAAATAGCTATAAAGGGCACTGACCCATTCATTGTGTCTCGTTCAGCTCTTAACACAGAACACAGTTCCTAGTAGGAGTTCAATAATAACTTGTTGGAAAATTTCAACCTTATAATAGTGGTTCTAATACAGGAGTAAGAATATGAATCATGGAGCGAAGGGACTTTTTTATTTTTTTTTATTTATTTATTTTTTTAAATATATTTTTATTGATTTTTTACAGAGAGGAAGGGAGAGAGATAGAGAGTCAGAAACATCGATGAGAGAGAAACATCGACCAGCCGCCTCCTGCACACCTCCCACTGGGGATGTGCCTGCAACCAAGGTACATGCCCTTGACCGGAATTGAACCTGGGACCTTTCAGTCTGCAGGCCGACGCTCTATCCACTGAGCCAAACCGGTCTTGGCGAAGGGACTTTTTTAAAGTACAGTGGGGCCTTGACTTACGAGTGTCCCGACTAACGAGTTTTTCGAGATACGAGCCGTCTCTCGGCCGATTTTTTGCTTTGAGTTGCGAGCTAAAATTCGGGTTACGGGCCAGCTTCAGATACCCCACCGCTAGTTGGCGAAGCGAACGTCACAGTGAACGCCACAACATCAGCCCAGCATCAAGTGTCTCACTTGTTCACTTTTTGATTTGACATACGAGTAATTTGAGTTACGAGCTCTGTCACGGAACAAATTAAACTCGTAAGTCAAGGCCCCACTATGCAGATACCTGGGCCTACCTCAGAGCTATTGAATCAAATATAGTCTCTAGGGGACGAGGCAAGGCATAGGTATTTGGTTAGTAAAAGCTTTCCCAGGGGATTCTGCTATAAGCCAATGGTTTAAAAGCCACTCCTTACCCAGAGCAATCAAATTCAGAGAGACAGCTGTAACCGGTTTGGCTCAGTGGATAGAGCGTCGGCCTGCAGACTGAAGGGTCCCAGGTTCGATTCCAGTCAAGGGTATAACCTTGGTTGCGGGCACATCCCCAGTAGGAGGTGTGCAGAAGGCAGCTGATCGATGTTTCTCTCTCATCGATGTTTCTAACTCTCTATCTATCTCCCTTCCTCTTTGTAAAAAATCAATAAAATATATTTTTTAAAAAATTCAGAGAGACAGAAAACAGAGTGGTGGTTTTCAGGGGCTGGAGAGGGTGAATGGGGAGGTACTAGTTAACTGGGCACAGTTTCAGTTCTGCAATATGAAAAGAGTTCTAGAAATTGTTTGCTCAACAATGTGAATGTACTTATTATTGAACTGTATACTTAAAAATGGTTGATGATAAATTTCACATTATGTATATTTTACCATGATTTTTGAAAAGCCACTCCTGTGGTTTTTTGTTTGTTTGTTTTTTAATTTAATTCTCACCCAAAGAGTGAGGATACTTTTTCCATTGATTTTTAGGGAGTGGAAGGAAGGGGAAAGGGGACAGACAGAAAAACACTGAGGTGAGGAAGATACATCAATTGGTTGCCTCCAACTTGCAGTCCGACTCCACTGGTGGCCCGACTGGAGATGGGGTTTAAACCTGCAACCGAGGCATGTGCCCTGCACCACAACCCCTCTGTCCAGGGCTGACACTCTAAACAGCCGTGGGCAAACTACGGCCCGCAGGCCGAATCCGGCCCGTTTGGAATGAATAAAACTAAAAAAAAAAAAAAAGACCGTACCCTTTTTTATGTAATGATGTTTACTTTGAATTTATATTAGTTCACACAAACACTCCATCCATGCTTTTGTTCCGGCCCTCCGGTCCAGTTTAAGAACCCATTGTGGTCTTCGAGTCAAAAAGTTTGCCCACCCCTGGTCTAAACACTGAGCCAAGCCGGCCAGGGCAAAGCCACTCCTTTTTTTAATCGTTTGAACAATATTTCCATCTTTAGAAAACTCTTCTGCTCACATGAAAACTTAGCTGGAATTAAATTAAACGAACATTTATGTGGTGCCCACAAGTTGCATACAATTATGTCAAATAGTTTATACCTCCAAAAAGAAGAGGACAGTAAGTACTTGAAAAAGTGGATTGATTTTTCTCACAGTCTGAATTTCATTCCATTCATTTGCTACAAAATATGTTCTCCATATGCTTACGGGAACGGTAGCGCTCCTCACACCACCCTCACCTGGTCAGGGAGATAAAATGAGTGAAAGGGTCACTTCATCTTTGTTCTGCAAGGATAGATAACAAGAGAATTTTGGCACAAATGGTCACTCGTTACCTTCAACAGCTTTAAGAACCTTCCCTTTAGGTCGCTCCCAATCGATAAAGAATATATCAATGGTAACCTGGGATACGAGCTTATGCAAAAACTGCAGAGCCTGAGAATGACAAACAAAACACCTAAAAGTATCCACATTAAACCTACTTATAAAACCAATACTAATTATTTTCTGTGTGTTTGTTTTTTTGTTAATCCTCACCCGAGGATATTTTTTCCATTGATTTTTTTTAGAGGGAGAAGGAGATAGAGAGATGAATGTAAGAGAGACACATCAATCATTTGCTTCCCATACACGCAACCGGGCCGGGGATCCAACCTGCAACCCAGGTACGTGCCCTTGTCCGGGAATCAAACCCACGGCCCTTCCGTACATGGGTTAACACTAACCATTTAGCAACACCAGCCAGGGCACCGATACTAATTCATTAGAAGCAAATATACTGCAATCATAAGAACAGATAATTTTCACAAGTGACAAAGTTGTAATACCATCAGAAGTCACTAGAAGTTCATAAAGTAACATGGAACCACCTAATTCACAGAAATTTTATACACATATTATTTCGTCTTCCCTTCTTCCATCTTTGTTTGCAATAAGAATATGAAAAAAGGAGATATACTGCCTCTCCTATACATGGGCCTTACATAATTGGCTCTCTTTTCCAAGGTTTCCAGAAATAGACTTTGTTTTCTAGATAATCTGACTTCTTTATAAGTGAAGATATTTTCCCACTGTAATTTGCTTGTTCTAATCAAAGTGTTCAGATATTTTCATAGTCCTTTTTTTTTTCTATTTCTGGTATTGAGATTTCTGATTTTAAAAAAAGTGTGGCTGAGACACATATTTTTCATTTATAGAAAGTAATATGTTTAAAATGAGGCTTTCTTCCTAGTTGATGCATTATTAATTAAAGGATAAAAATCTAAGTATGGGATGATTCCTCTCCTCAGGGAGGTCACAGTAAGTGGGAAAAGCCGTTACTAATCACCGTACAACGAGATGAGATCTACCACAGAGGCATGTAAAGAGCTTCACATACATTGACAAACAATGACCTGAGGAGAAGGGATGCTACGGGAAGAGGAGGAAAGGACTATGGAGACAGAAAACAAATTCTAAGATTTCAGTACCTTTTACGTTCAATTTACAGAAACAAAATTCATGCCTGAAGGCATTGTGTCCCTATTGTGAGTGAATCATCAGACTTTAAAGAAGAAAGTCATAAAATGAAATATTATTTTATCAAATTAGCTACAATTCATTTAATTCAAACATATTTATGGCTCCCTAGAAAGTTATTTAAACCAGATTTTCAAAATGAGCTATTATCCATAAAAGTAGTATAGCCCTAGCCAGTTTGGCTAAGTGGATAGTGTCAGCCTGCAGACTAAAGGGTCCCAGGTTCTATTCTGGTCAAGGGCACATGCCTGGGTTGCGAGCTCAATCCCCAGTAGAGGGCGTGCAGGAGGCAGCCAATCAGTGATTCTCTCTCATCATTGATGTTCCTATCTCTTTCTCTCCCTCTTCCTTCCTCTCTGAAATCAATAAAAATACTTTTTTTTTAAAAAAAAAGTAGACTTCCTGTGTAAAACAGTAACTCATGCTTTCTTTCAAAATCAAACTAAATTCCAAAGATTTTGAAAGTACAGTCAAACCTCAGTTCTTGGAGTAAAAATTCATCTTGAACAATCGGTTCTCGACCAAGTTGTTTTAAAAAAAATGTCTCAGTTGTTGAACAAAACTTCTGTTCTCTACCCGACAACCCTTTCATGTTGATACCTGTATGATCAGTCACATGTCTCCCAGGTAACAAAGGCGAGAATGTGCGAATATGAGTCCGTTTACCACTAAACCTTCCCTTGTTAACATCTCAGGAAATTGTGCTGTGAATATTTCAGTGGGGTGTTTTTGAGGTTTTTTTGCTTTTGTTGCTGCTTATTATTATTAAATACACACAGTAAGTCATATGGGTCCTAAGAAGGTTAGTGACAGCAGCGAAGTGAAAAGGAAAGCTGTGAGAATAATGATAGAGCTTAAAAAAAAATAATTGCAAAGTATGATAGAACTGTTTGCATGTCTGATCTGGCTACCGACGGGCATGGTGAAATTGATGATTAGCACAATTTTAAAACATAAAGAGGCCATTAAGAATGCTGATGTCTCTAAGGGTGTGAAAGCGCTCACAAAACAAAGATCACAGGCAACTGAAAAAGGTTAAAACGTGGAATTATTTGGGAAACTGGAACGGATTAATTTAATCTATATTCTTTCTAATGGAAAAAAATGATTCCGTTTTCAATCAAATCGCTCCTTGAACAGCCTTCTGAAATGAATGAAGGTTGAGAACCACGGCTCCACTGTACTTTAATTTTAAAGGCTCACAAGTGTCTTAGCAGGCCTTTTACATTTTTTACCCTCTCCTTTGAAACATACCTTCAGAGCAAAAGCACATCCCACAAAAGTACCAAAACGTTCTTCCTGAGTCGGCGTTGGTAGAAACACAGAGACAGACTTCTGTGCCTGTGACAAAAATTACACCAGTAAATACAAGCACAGACGGCTTTTACTCAGCAAACTTTCTAACCCGAAGAAAGCATAAGGAGGAAGGCGGTAATGCTCGCAATAAACACAGCATACTCAGTGCCTGTAACCAGAAATCCTCCCAAATAAAAACAGCTCCTTTAGAACGAGCACTTACCAGTCAGTCATTGGCATTCAGGTTAAATTCAGCAACTCACTTACTTTGAAGAAAATAAGCCAATAAAGACCCGTTGCCACAGTGATGATAACAAATACATTGGTCAGATCACCAGCGTAGTACACCATGAACTTCATAACTGTCTGCAATTTAAAAAGAATGACAGCTGTTATAGACTCAGTGCAGTTATACTACCACTTTGAGCAACATATTCTGTACCAGTGTCTCAAGCTGGCAGCCTTGTTGCATGTAGGCATGGGTCAGTTAGCAAGACCAGCTGCGGCCACTCCTAGACACCCTTGGGTCCTTACCGTTGGTTCCATTCCCGAGAGCCTGTTTTGTTCCACCCTCCTCCTCTCTCACCACCTGAGGCAGAACCGCTTCCTAATTTTCTCCCAGTTTGGAGCCCTTCTCCTCGTCTATCCTCCACACGACCGCCAGAGTCAGCTTCCTCGAGTGTAAATTGGACGGACTGTCACTCTTCACCGGTGACTCTTCACTGAAATATAAATTCCTAACCAACAAGGTCCTTCACAACCTAGACCCAAACGAACTTTTTTTAGCTCCATCTGCCAGTGCTGGCCGTTTAATGATTTGCCACCCCACACCTTCAACTCAAATATTTTGTGGAATGAAATGGGTACTGTTTCATCACAAATTCTTCCTTTATTCTCTCTGGTAAATTCTGCGAGCTCTGAGGGCAGAGGCCATGTCTGTCCTTGCTCACTGCCACTTGCCCTCGCACCTGGTAGAGGGCCAGGCACCCAGCAGTGGAAGTCACAGATAAAAATACACCAGCTTACAACCCACCTCTCTGGGAAGCCTTTCCTGTCTATCCCAAATGTAAGTCAAAGCCCCCTCCCCTGAATCCCTGGGCCGGTTCACTTTGGAGTCGCAAAGATATCCCAGCAAAACAAGTTACTATGTTGCTTTTTCATGTTCTTAATCAGCTAGATGGAAGTACCACCTATTACTGAGTTGCTATAAAAATTAAAGGAGTATAAAATTTATTTAATGCCTGCCAAAATTTCCTCTGTGGAAAATGAGAATAATCATACCCAACTTCATACGGCTATTGTGAGGATTAAATGAATTATACATGTAAAGTTTAAAAAAGTGCCTGGCACATGGTAAATATTCAATAAATGATAGATAAAATTTAAAACAAAATCTATTTTAAAAAAGAAGCAAAACTGCAAAGTTAAAAGAATAAAACATGGGAGAAAATATTTTTGAACTTGAGATAGGAAAGGCTTTCTTAAGCAAGATCTTAAAAGCAAAATATATTGTAATATGAAAAACTATTCAGATGTGACAATATCAAAATTAAGAGTTTCTGTTAAACACAGGAACACATAGATAAATAACAGATGGGTTATTTCTTCTCCAATAACACTTGAAGAAGAAATTTCAACATGAAAAACCAAAAGGGGTTTCATATTTAGAAAATACAAAAAACAACCATCTTTAAATAAATAAGAACAATTGTAAGTCTAGTAGAAAAACGGGCAACAGATATAAACAAAAGGGAAAACCCAAATGATGCATAAAGCATGTGAAGAGTAATCAGAGAAATAAAAATTGAATCAACAATGACATACTCCTTACACCCCCAGGTTGGCAAGGAATGGAAAGGCTGGAAAAATACCAAGTGCTGGCGAGGACGTGAGGAGGCAACAGCAGCGCTGAGGGGGAGGCAGACTGGAGGGCAGCAACGTGGGAGGGGAAGGAGGTATGCTTCTACCCAGAGAAACTCCAGGCAAACTTTTTACTCATCCACTAGCTGTGTCTTATCAGAAGAACATGCAATGGTCAAAGATAAAAAGTACTTAAGACCTCCTGAGACCATACCTGTAGGTCAATCATAGGACTCCCAATGCGCCTCTTCCACCCCGCCGTCTTCAACAGAGATGTTAAAACAGCGAGCCCACCCAACACACCCAAAGCAATCTAAGGACAGAAAAGACAGTTTAGGGGTTTATGTAATTTCCCTCATCAGTGTTCAAAAAGAACACTATAAAGTCTAAAAGTACTAAAAAAATGGTGGTGGATGGTATGTTCAAAGAACATAGGAGCCAAATTGAAGGAACTGCCCCCCCCCCCCCAACCCCCAGTGGCCACATCTGGAACAAATTGAGCAAGAAAATAGTGATGGACTATAATCACAAGAATAAATAGGTATCCACTAGTCCTTACTGATTTAAATAAATAAATAAATAAATGTGGGCAAAAGAACAGCTCGTCTTTATAGGATTTCAATTGACAAATATAGAAGAAACGACGGAAACAGAAAATCATCACACAGATATCACAGTAATACTTTTTTACAGGCAAGAATTGTCAATAGATGCTAAAATTAGAGGTCAAAAGAATAATAACTGTGATATCTGCATAATCTCAAAGTATCTCTCCCCAAGATATTTATTAGTTACAAATGGTAAAATACAGTAGAGAACTCTGCAGATAATCATCTTAGTCATACGATCAAAGTTAATGTCAATAATAAGACATATGCACATCAAATATTTTCTGACATGATTCACTGAGAAGGGCATAGATAGCATCATTTCTGTCGTATCTGTTCTAAAACTACATTTAATCATGGGAAGATATCAGATAAGCCCAATTAAGAGCCATAATAATTCAAAAATGGTAGGGTCAGGCATTAAAGACAAAGAACAACTAAAGAACTGTCACAGATCAAAGGAGAAGACGGATAAAACAATGTGCAACCCTGGCCTGCATCCTAAACAAAAAAAGAATAGTAAAAAATGTGTGAAATTCAAAGATTAGTTAACAGGCTTATATCAATATTAATTTCCTGGTTATGATTGCTGTACTAGAGTTATGTAAGATGTTAATATTAAGGGGAGGCTGGGTGAAGGATATAATTCTAATCTATTTTGACAACTTTCCTGTCCATCTAAGTTTTTTTATTTAAAAAATATACTGTAAATATTTCAACAGGTTAAAATAAACTCACATCTGTCTGGATACGTGCTTCTTCTTGATTCATTTCATATTCGACAGAGAAAGAAACCTGATATTTAAAATAAAGGAAATTAGCCATACTAAAATTATATAACACAAATCTACTTTTACTATAAAAATACATTTACAGCTGGATTTTACCATAAATGCCATATTTTTTAATTATCAATACTTATTAGAGTTGACCCTAACTTATACATAAATGGATATGCTTTGGGGAATTATTCATGCTGCTTAAATATTCCTTTTGGAAACACATTCAGGAAAGGGGGTTTCATTAGAAGCTAGGTTAGTTCATTAACAGCAGTCAGTCCAAACTAATCATATTTCATTTTCTGATAGGTTTCTGTAACTGAGAAATGTGACAGAAATTATAGTATCAAGAATTTAGCAACTGGCTAAACAATCACATCCTAAGCAGGCAGATGAAACAAAGGGTTGAACAAGAATCTTAGGGATACCTCTGCATTAAGACAGGAAGAGAAAGAAGAACCAGTAAAAGATAAGAGAAACAGTATTGTGAGAGGTAGGAGAGGCAAGATACGTAAGTCTTACCATGGTCAGGGCGTTTCAGAAACAAGAGTTCAGTGTCAAATGTATAAGTGTCAAGTTAAAGAAATAAAGCCATTGTATGTGAAATTCATTGCAGACCTTCATGGAAAGAGTTTTTCCAAAGGATCAAAATGGCCCATTTGTTTATTTTTTCCTTTGTTTCTCTTGCCATAGGCAATGTATCGGGTGAAAATTCTGCTATGTGAGATGTCTGATATTTTTCTGCCTATATTTTCTTCTAGGATTTTTATGGTTGCTCGACTTACATTTAAGTCTTTAATCCATTTTGAGTTTATTCTTGTGTATGGTGTAAGTTGGTGGTCTAGTTTCATTTTTTGCATGTATCTGTCCAATGTATTGAAGAGACTGTCTCTATTGTATGCTCTTGCCTCTATTGTCAAGTATTAATTGAGCATAATGGTTTGGGTTGATTTCTGGGTTCTCTGATCTACATGCCTGTTCTTATGTTGTTTTTATTAGAGTGGCTTGCAAATGATGAAAGAGTAAATGGTTGGAAAAATCAAGGAAATATATACAATAGCAAGCTGAAAAGCTAACAAAATTAAGGAAGCATTTTATTGTTTTGTGTATTTTAGTTTGCTTTTAAGATGGGGCAGCCTGAAAGGTGTTATAAGCAAAAGAAAGGGACTAACAGAAGCTGATTGAATAAGGGGTTGGGGTGAAACAGAACACTGGAGAAAGCCTATAAACAAATACATTAGCTGAAGAAAGGAGGAAGGATCTTTTCTTTTTCCCTTAGAAATAGGAATGAGAGACAGGAAGGACAAGGAAACACTGGAGTATTAAAGAGGAAATCTGAGGAAATTCATACTGAATAGTCTCGATCCTCATAAAATATGAGGGAAGGTTATTAGCTATTGGTGAGAGCAGAGATGTAGCTGAATGCTTAAAACTAATGTAGAATTTTTTAACAGCTGTCATAAGAAATTAAGAAATGATGAAAGAACTGTATATTCTACAATTAGAATGAATTTGAGGTGGACTTTGTCAGTACAGTTTTATGATTCTCTCAACTCTCTTATTTCCCAATTTGTCAAGACTTAGTTTGGAATATTTTGGACAAGAAAAGTATGTGAAGAAAAGATCCAAAAAATGTTTTATGTTAAAATAAATATACTCATACTCTTGGTTACCCAAGAATTATCACTCCAGGAAATTTTAAACCAAGCAGTCTTTTGTTACTAAGCATGCTTCTGGATTTTCTCCTTCTCTTATTACAGTGTATGTAAGCCAAGACAATGAAAACGAATTTTAATGTTGGATTAGGTAATACAAATGAGGAAGTAAATCTTTTAGAGAAAAGCTATGTTATGTGCCTTCTTTTTGCTTAATGAAAGCCTAAATCCAATAGTACCTGAGTACAAGTACCAGCACAAGAGGGAGGCCAAAAGCACTGGCTGAAGAAGCTAGAACATTACAATTCAGAAAAGTAAAACAGTGGAAATAACAAGCTACTCGTGAGTCTTGGAGGTAAGAGATGCTTCTCCCCCCATTTTTCATGTTTTTAGAGAGGCAAGGGGATAACCACTTAACTTCTCTGAGGAAAAAGTAGAGAAGGATCACCTTTGGCTTCAGTCTCCATCCTCTCTCACTTACCCCTCTTCAAAGCAGAAATGCCTTATCTACTGGAGAGGAGGCACTGAGCATGGATGGCCCCGCCTTTTCCAGGCTCATTCTCTTTGGTGTAGCCTGTTGTCAGGGTGTACACGGTCTCTCTCCCATCTACAGACCCTGCCAAGCAGGGGAGGCCCTTAGTTCTGCGGCAAAATTTAATTAATTGAGTTGGGGAAGTAGTAGGAAGCCAACTTGGCTGCAGGTCCAAGCTGCATTCTGTAGTTCATTTGAGCACTAGGGATAAAGTTGATCACTGGAATCTCTTTCTGCCCGTTGAAGTGTGTCTTCAAGTGGGCAAGACTACCCACCGTAAAGTCTGAGTTCCTGGCTTAATTGGAAAAGAAGACAGAATCTTTTATTTTATTAATTTTTTGATTTTGAGAGAAACATCGATTTGTTGTTCCACTTATTTATGCCTCCACTGGCTGGTTTTTGTAGGCCGGGGCAAGGAGAAGACAAAATCTTAACAGCAGCAAGGCGGCCAAAGAGAATGAGCAGCAGACTCTGCGTCTCAGCCTGCCTCAATATCCTGACAGGGATGCCCAGCTGGTGGTGACAATGTCTACAAAAACCTTAGTCTTGCCTTTTTAATACTCAGGATCCATAAGAACTCACCTCTGACCATCGTTAGTAAAAACCAATTAACACTTGACTATATAATGAGCAGTGTTTATGTAAAACTTGAAAAAGGACTAATTGTCCTTTGACTGTAATGTGAACTGTATCCCATATGAATGCACACAGAGGCACTGATTAGTAAAGAATTCACCTTCACAAGCTGGCTGTTGGGATCTTTGACATCAATGTCACTGTAGCCAATGGTAATTAAGGGAGGGTAGATGTTTCCTTTTTTTGTGTTGGGTACAAGGTGGATGCTGTTTAAAAGAAAATACATTTCTTGTTATAAGTACATCTAGGCCCTTAAACATATATTTGACTTATCATTTATCGTTTCTTTTGAACTTAACATGGACAATTTTGGTAATCTCAGAACCAACCAGTTAATAAAGACTAGGGAAAATTAAACATAAACTAGTAGTAACACAAGCTATCTTAAGTAGTTAAAACTTTAATATGAAAATAAACCCTCTGAACCCTGGGCAGTGTGGCTAAGTTGGTTGGAGCGTTGTCCTGTACTGGTATACCAGAAGGTCGCGCATTTGATTCCTGGTCAGGGCACATACCTAGGCTGCAGGTTCTATCCCCGGTCAGAGCATTACAGGAGGCAACTGATTGATGTATCTCTCTCACATCGATGTTTCTCCCTCCCTCCCTCTCTTTTTCCCTCTCTAAAATTAAGGAAATAAATAAACCCTCTGAGACAAATTAGAAACTCTTATTGATATAGGTTCTATGAAATTTACAAATGAAATCACTGAAATATTGTGAACCATTTTTGAGAAATATTCAAGTTAGTGGTACATAAGCCCTAGAGAAAGGTGGATAAATCCTAATTTTCAATGAATTCTTAACAAAACAACATATCAGCTCTAGTACTGTTTATGGCACATAGTAGGGCACATTTTGCTGAATTCAATGCATTAGTAATATACAGCTTGTAAACTCAAAAAGGATAACAACCCAAAATACTCAAACACTTGGAAGCTGAATAGCATGTTATTAAATATTGATTGGGTTACCAATGAGATCAAAGAAGAAATTAAAAACATCCTGGAAACTAATGACAATGAAAACACAACAATCCAAAACCTTTGGGACACAATGAAAGCAGTCCTGAGAGGGAAGTTTATAGCTCTACAGGCCTACCTCAACAAACAAGAAAAAATGGTAGTAAATCATCTAACTCTACAGCTCAAAGAATTAGAAAGAGAGCATCAAAAAGGAAACTGCCAAGCTCCAGGGGCCAGCATGGTTTTACTAAAATCAAGTCAAGCCTGACTAGCTTTGACTTCATTTTTACTAGGGATACATTAGCAGGTTGAGGGGATACTAAAAACACAGTACATTTAGATTTCAGCCAGATACAAGACAAAGTTTCTGTACTGCCTACCTCATAAGATTGCTATGAAAATCAAAATAAAATAGCAGTGAAAAAAATAATATATACTGAAGTGCAGACTAATGTAAGATGACAGTGCTGATTTTCATCAGCGTATTTAGGTACGCATCATAAAATATTGGAATGGAAAGGTGGTTAAGATCTTAGAGACAGTAATCTCACACTGGAAAAGAGAGAAATGAGGGCTGCATGGTGAAGTAACTGGGTCATCCTTAAAGTAGCCAAAAAAGGGGGATGAAGATATGCCTACTGCCATCACCTGGCAGGCTCTTTCTAACATACCCATTTCAGCCCACTGATGCCCACCCTGCCCTCCACCTCTCCACCCGCTCTCATTCAGCAGGTCTGGAGGGAGGCCCCACAGAACGTGAATTCTGATAAAGCTCTACGAGCTCTTGTGGTCATCCTCCTCTTGGCCTAAACCCATCTACTGCACAGATATCTAAAATAACCTTAGGTCTTGTTTCAGTTCAGTTGTCCTTATAGTTTTCATTTGATAACTACTGGTAAACATGTTCTTTTATGACATTTTGCTTTATGCTTCAAGCCTAATTTAGTGCATTAGACATTTGTTTACCTCAGGGATATCCGTGTAGCAATTCGAATTAATCTTGGCTGACTTCCTAAGTCATTTTCTCGTCCACTTAGTGCATCCACTAAGAAAATGCGCCGAGTCAGAAGCCACTTGCCAGAGTTACTGTCTTTTATTATAAAGAGAAAAAAAATGGAATTAAAACTTTGTTTTAATGAAACAAAGACCTGAAATACTCCAGGTCTCACAAATAGGTTACCAATGGTTTCTCTCAAAACCATTCAAATGGTTCCAGATCTGCCCCACTGGTGAGGCTCAACGGTTGAGCTTTGACCCAGGAACCAAGAGGTTGCTGGTTTGATTCCCGGTCAGGGCACATGCCCAGATTGCAAGCTCAATCCCCACTGGGGCGCGTGCAGGAGGCAGCCGATCAATGATTCTCTCTCATCATTGATGTTTCTCTCTCTCTCTCTCTCTCTCTCTCTCTCTCTCTCTCTCTCTCTCCCTTCTCTCTGAAATCAATACAAAATGTTTTTAAAAAATTGTTCAAGATGGCTCTCAAGGAGAAGCTTACTAAATAAATTTAACACACTAAGTTAGTACATTTTGTTTTAGATAAAACTGTTGCAAACACACACACAAAACACACCAATTGTAAGAAATTCCTACTAGATTTTTCTACCTCATTTGAATGTTTTTTGATTGTTTGGACTTTTCATCAGTTTGGAAGAACTGTCCCTGCAAATTACCTGAATAAGCAGAATTTTATAATATGGGAAACAATGAAAGAAATGAATTTGTCCCAAAAGCAGCTTCAGGACACCCTGAAGAAGCCCAGTTCTATTACCTTTTTCTCAGGACACACTTTTAGCAATAATATAATTTCTGAACAATAAGCCTGACACATTTTGTAAAAATTTCTAAATATACCAGCAATCTAATTGTTTCACTTTTTAGCATGCTATATAAAACCAAAAAGTAAGAGAGAACCTATGACCTTTCTTATAATCCATGGTATATTAAGTTATCAGGTTGGTTGACCTATATATTGAGTTCAGCTCAGAGAAAGAATGGTATATATGGATGTCTTACCTTGGTTCACAAATATTTTATTGTGTTGAAGATTTAGGTTTAACACAGGCAGAGCCCAAATATATTGGTGTTGATTTTCATCGGTATATTCAAGGTATAAATCATAAAATATAGGAGTGGGAAAGTCAGTTAAGATCTTAGAGATAGGAATCACACACTGGAAAATAAAAATAAAAGCATCCCAACTGAATATTACAAAGCTTATTTATTATCTTTAAAAGACTGTTTTTTTTAAATTTTTATAAAATAAAGTATCTTTAAATTACCTTGTCTATGTCCATTTCCTTGTGCCTTCCAAAACATGAAGCTATAAATATGATTTTTAAATAAGGGCCAAAGAAAACTAACAGTAAAGAACTGCCTGGCTCTTGTCCTACAACCCAGCTATAGAGGGTATGCCTTCATTCTCAACATTAAAGGTACGGCCGAACCGGTTTGGCTCAGTGGATAGAGCGTCGGCCTGCGGACTGAAGGGTCCCAGGTTCGATTTCGGTCAAGGGCATGTACCTGGGTTGCAGGCACATCCCTACTGGGGGCTGTGTAGGAGGCAGCTGATCGATCTCTCTCATCGATGTTTCTAACTCTCTATCCCTCTCCCTTCTTCTCTGTAAAAATTCAATAAAATATATTTAAAAAATAAAAATAAAAATAAAGGTACAGCAGTGAAAAGGGATGAGGTCCTGATTCTTTTTCCTGATGTGCAATGCTGTCTGTGATTTGGCTCCCCTAACAAAGCCAGGCTCATTTCTCACTGCTCCCTACCAGTTTCTAGTCCATTCTTACTAATCAACTTGCTGTTCCTAAATATGCTAGGCTACTCTATGCCTCTATCGTTGCAAATGTTGCTTCTGCCTGACAGTCCCTTCCCCACTATGTTCTCCTAGACAACTCATATTCATTCTACGAGCCCAAGTATGAAGCCCTTCTCTACTCACTCAGGAACTGCTAACGACGTACCTTGTCCATACCTATAGATCAACAATTACCATATTCTTTGCAAGTTTTTGTCTATATAGCTGTTTTCTCTACTACTCTGTGAAGTACTTGAGAGGCAGTCAAGTTCAATGGAAAAACCACAACTGTTTAACTTAACAGAACATTAGCTACACAATTTACTTGATGCAAGACCTTAAGTAAATTACCTAACCTCACAGAGCACCATTTCCTCTCGGTAAAGCACAGATAATAATGATCTCACATAGGTATTTCATGGATCAGATAACAATGATAAAATGCTGAACACACAGCAGCAGGCATTTAACAAGTATTGATTCTTCTGGCCGTGGTAGACACATTTATTTTTCTTTTTGGGGGGAAATAATATATGACATTTCTGATAATAAAAGTGAATTCATATACGTGATAGAAAATTTGCAAAATATAAAAAAGAAAAGAAAGGCACGTGTAATCCTATCATACAGACATAACCACATTAAAAATGTTTATTTTCTTCCAGTGTTTTCTGATAGATATCTCATCATGGCTTTACCAAAACTGGAATCACAGTTTTATTCTATGGTGCGTGTATATGCATTTAATCAAGAAGTATTTTTGTAAACTACTGAATGTTTAATGGTTCATAATATTCCTTTGTACAATACTGTAATTTCAAAATGAGTTATGAAAAGAAGAAAGGTCAGGGAAGGAAGGAGAAGGAAAAGATTAAAAAAAAAGCATTTTTTGTTACTGGGAGGGTGAGAGGGAGGAGTGAGTAACATTTTTATTAGTCACTAAAAACAAAGTAACAATTTTTATTCCCAAACTCTCAGAAGTACATTTTGTTTTGAAGACCTATATGCCTAGAAGCGAATCAACAACTGATTATTAAAATCTAACATTATATGATGTATCAAACTCTGTGGAGGACAAGGTACTCTCTTCATGCTAATTAAGATTTTCTGTACTCAGGTAATAAAAAAATGTCAATCAGTGAAGTTCTTCATTACTCTTAAAAACATTTCCAATTTCAAACATTCAAAGATTATTCCAATTATGCTAATGTGAAAATGAAACTAAAATACAGACTGTTTAAAATAAATAAATAAATAAATAAATAAAATAAAATACAGACTGTTTAATGCAGTTCAAACTTAAACTTACGTCTTGTTGATAGGTTGTTCCAAAAGAATAAGCTGCATTTAATCTTGTTTCTGTGTCTGGACAAAGCTACAGCAAAAGAATACAACTGATAAGTATCTCTCACAAATGTTTTCTTGGATTGTAGTCAAGAATTCTCAAATCCAAGCTGATCTCCATATAAAGTATTATACTTTATATAATACTTACCTAATGTATTAAAGGTATGAAAGTTAAGAAGGAAAAAAGTTAAATGAAAGTCCTAGCAAGGTGCTTTTGAGAAATTCCAATTTAAAGCACAAGAAAAAATCAACTGTAGCATGCAACTGATACTCCATTATTCAAGCAATAAACCTATCTTTTCCTCAGGCAAAAATAAGGCACTTAAGTAATTCTTTAGCTAGAATCATGCTGACCTGTAAAACACCACCTTCTAAAGTTTGCCACTTGAGAAAATTTCCTTTTACATCATAGGAAGCAGCAACAAACTTCATTTGTGTATTCTGATTAAAGAAAAACAAGAATAAAATAATGTCACATACTCTAAAAGCAATATAGTCTTCTCTATATATAAAAGGCTCAGTGACCAGCCATACGCCCATCCGACCATCTGACCGGCCAGCCGGTACATATGACGCACACTGGCAATTTAAAAATAAACGTTGACTCGCACATGCGCGATACATATAAAGCTCTTGCGCCAATCTAGGCAGAGTAGGAACATTCCTACCTGAACCCATTTTCGGACATGGTCAGTTATATGTTGCTTTCTCTCGAGTTCGAAGAGCGTGTGGCATTACGTTAAAGTTGTAAATACTTCATCACAAGGGAAATTAGTCAAGCACTCTGAAAGTGTTTTTCCTCTTAATGTGGTATACAGGGAGATATTAGAATAAGTTTAATCAATTTATATCAGTGTTGTTTTTATGTCATGTTTTTGTTGTTTTTATATCATGTTTTTGTTGTTATTTCTTCTAATTAGTTTCCTTTCAATGTGCACAAATCCGTGCACTGGGCCACTAGTATTCTATAAAGAAATTGTCATTGATGACGGACTGATCTTTTCTTTTTCCAGAGATTAAATATTAAATTCCGTTATCTTAATTTTGAAGCAAAATTAATCCAAGTGTCTCTATGACTGAACACACCTAAAATAAATGGACCAGATTTTGTGTTGTTTTTTGGCACGAGATCTATTGTTTCAGAATTGTGGGGCAGTGCTAGTGACAGATAACCTCCTTTCAAGCCTGTTAAATGGGGGGTAGGGATAGGGGAGGGAATCATCTGTTACTTCATTCCACAAAGTCAAAAAGCTGGAGGTGAGAACTGGGACGGGTGAAGTGCTGGGGAAGTGGCAGAGAGCCCTGGTCTGTGTTTGGAAGTACTTCGCAAATATGCAGAGATATAAAGGGACAGAGATTGTTTTGCATTTGGTGATGAGAACTACCTTTCCCAACCCCACAAGTACTACTTGCTGCCATAATCACATAATCCAGGCACACATATATGTACTCAAATAAGACAGCTAAACTCTGTTTTGTTTAGTTACTATGAATAGCTGATACTTAGATTAAGTTTAGTAATTAAAATTGAAAAACAACCTAAAGAAGCAATACTTATGACTAGTAACATTCTTATTCCCTTTTCAAATTGAAAATAAAAATGTCGTTATGCTTGTACCTGGTTTTGCCCTTTAAAACTGAAATTTGAAGGAAGAGGTGTAGTATCGAGGATTTGAGGTGCTAATCCAAGCTGATCTCCATAGAACAGCCATGGAAGATTCTGTCTCCTATGGACAATTACAATTGTTTTAATAATGGGGAAGCAATATTTATATTAATATTTGTGAAAGTAACTGCACTGAATTTGGCAAAATGGCAGTTCATCCATCAGACTATCCTCACCAAAACGAAACAGAATGAACAGTGCGCAGTCCAGCAGTATTTTCAAAGACAAACTGAAATAGTCGACATGCATCAAAAGTGGCAGAGTTATAAGAATTCATGTTCATCACACACATATTTCCAAGAGCTTGGCAAGATGTTAGATTGGCATATATCTACAAGAGAACAATGACAAAGAAATGTAACATGGATTTCAATATCCTAAGAAAAGTTAGTATAATAGATTATGCTCGGTTTTAATTTTACCTATTCTACAAATTATTCTTTTGGGTATTCTTTTACTTTTTGATACCTTTCCTCTGTTTAAGTACAAAAGAATTTCCTATATGGCAGAAGAATAATGTGTACATTTTAATTGTAAAGTTAGGCTGAAATTAAAGACAAGCAATTGAAAGAACTAAAAACTTATAGCATGACATTTAAAAAAACTGTTAAGTAGAATAATTATATTTGAAAGAATAATTTGTTTGCATATTAGATCTTATTTATATATATAAAAGGCTAATATGCAAAGTGTCCCCTTGGGAGTTCAACCGGGAAACCGGGAGTTCAATTGCTCGCTATGATGTACACTGACCACGGGGGGGGGGGGAAGGGGGGGGGGGGGGGTTGCAGAATGAAGGAAGGCCCCGGCTGGCAGCTGGCAGCTGGGGAAGGGAGGCCCTGGCTGGCAGCCAGGCCTAGGGACCCTACCTGTGCACGAATTTCGTGCACCGGGCCTCTAGTGTGTGTATATATATATCCATTAAGTTAAGTAATTTGTTTTATAAATAATAAAATAAGATCATTTGCTGAGCCCCTCAATCTTCTTTCTCAGTTTTCCCCATCAGAAAAAGGAAACCCCATTTTTACAGTTATTCAAATCAAAACATTAGAGTGATCTTTTTTCCCTTCCCATATCCAACTCATTAGTAAATCATGCAGGCTCAATCTCCAAAATATAAGCAGAAGTATATCATTTCCACAGTACCATCCTTGTCCCTTACTCGGATTACCCTAATACACTCCTAACTGGTCTCCCAGCTTCTGTCCTTGCCCCAACAAAATCTGCTCTCCATGCTATAGCGGTCCTTTTAAAACCTGACGTTCAATCATGTCTTCCTTTGCAGGAAATCCTTATTTCCCTTACAGTAAACCCCAGATCCTTGCCACAGCCACTCCTAGCATCCCTGAACTCACTTCTCCACTTCCCCTGCTCTCTCTGCTCCTGCCACTCCAGCCTCTTTCCTGTATCTTAAGCATGAACAAGCCAGATAACTCCTGCTTTGGGACCTCGGTATCTGCATGATCTTTGCATAGAACATTCTTCACTTTACGTGGTTCACTCTCACTTCCTTCAGATCTCCACTCAAATATCACCTTTTCAAAGATGCCTGTCCTGATCACCCTATATAAAATAGCACCCTCTTCCATTCTCAACATGCTTTATCCTGATTTATTTGTCTTCATAGCACTTAGTATCACCTGACATTTTTAAATGTCTTTTTCTGAAATATATAACCTGATTTCAGAACAGGCCTGGGAACAGAGTAGGTCATCAATAAACATTTACTAAATGACTGTATGAATCAGTTTCAGCTGAATAAGCTTAGAGACATTCATTCAATCTTATATAACAAAATATAAAATTAATATCATTTTCTTTATATATTCTCATTCAATCCACTAGAAAGGGTTTATTCTTCTAATAGTCAAAGAGATAAATCTACTTAGAAAACTTTTGTGATCTGAGGGGGAAAAAAAGTGTAATTCTTCAAAATTATATACAATTATCTTTTAAAAATTCAAACTTACCCAACAAGCAGCTGCTGATGAATGCAAATGCCTTGCAAACCATTCTGAAGTGATGGACATGCCCTGCAAACAAAAACATGAATTTTAATTTTAAATTCAAATAAAAATTCCTTAATACTACAATGTTAGGAGATGTTAATATGCATATTGTTGAATGCAAAAAGACTAACATGACTTTCTCAATGTGATTAAAAACACCATATACTTAAAATTCCAAGGGCTAAAGACAAATAGAGAATCTTAAAAGCAGCAAGAGAAAAGCAGTGAGTTACTTACAAAGAAATGCCCATATAACTGTCAGCTGATTTCTCAACAGAAACTATGCATTCCAGAAGGGAGTGGCAAGAAATATTATAAGTGATG